ACATAGTTGTTTGCATGTTGTCTCCCCCATTAGACCATGAACTCCTTGAGGGCAAGGACTATCTTTTGCCTTTCTTTGCATCCTCAGCACTTAGCACAATGCCTGGCAAAACAGTAGGTGTTCAAAAATATTTATTGACTGGCTGAAATGCGGAAAACTTTCTACATTCTGAGTTGTAAGTAGCCTCATCAATAGAATAGTTCAAGGATTTTCCTCTTGAAAGTTTGCAAAATATTTGCTTACAGTAAGTTAGTGAGGTAGGTCATAGGGGATAGAAGTTGGACCTGTGATTTGAAAAATATATATTTTTACTATTTTTTTGGTATAGGGATCTCCTAGAGGAGTAAACTACATCTAGCAACACAGGTCAGTACCTTCTGTGCCACTTACAGTCTTTAAGAGCTGTCTTGGGTACAACTCTTGTGTCAGAAGCTCTTTCATCATAGAAAGGAACTATGTGTATTTTGGGTGGATTTCATCACTTTCCTCACTCATCGTTCCTATCCAGGAAACTTATGAGGATGTGTGTATGGTACCATTCAGTATACTGAGGATGGCTCTCCACTTTCAAATCCAATAGTTCACATAATGATGTAACAAAGTATTATTATACTTTTATTGTTATTATTACCTGTCTTTCCAGCATCATTGTACATTATTTCTCCTAATTCACACTCTGAAATCTGACTAAACTGGCCTTCTCTTGGTTCCTCACACAGGATACTCCATCTATGGTCCTCTCTTATTGCCTTCACCTGCTCTACCCTCCTTGGTTCTAGGTTATTCTATAATCCCCTGAGAATAGTTCTGTGATCCCTAACTACCATGGAGGCACCTTTTCTTCCTCTTTTGACCTCTCTCATAGCCAGGGTCAACCTATTCTAGAGTCAGGAAGGCCCAACTCATGATGGGGTGGGTACACCTGGCCCTACATCTTCCTGGCTGGGCTGAAAAGAACTTACCTAGAATGGCTGGGTGGTTAGGGGAGGGAATCATTTCCCCTTTCACTTTCTTGCCCTCCCCAGGCCACCCAGAATCCATCTATGCTGATTCACTGCCACAGCAATTTGGATGAGATAGAAATCACTAACTCTACTCCTTCTCATGAGATGGATGACCACCAGGCCTTGCTATCTGCCCTGCATCCTAAGGTCCTCTGGGCCTTCATTTCTATTCTGCCTCTATGGTCTGCAGACCCCAGGCACTGTCATCCTACCTACTCTTAAGGCCTTGCCACACTTCAGTTGCTGCACCCTTAGGACATTCAGGCCTTTCTGTATGTCCTGAGCCAAACTTTGTTTTATGTGCTGTCTCCCCCAATTAGAGCAGGCTAGTGTGAGAAGGAGGACTGAGCACTATCTTAATCTTTCTATTTATATCCCCAGTACTTAGTCCAATGCTTGGCACATAATAAGCAATTAATAAATGCTTTTTATTTCATTCATTTGTTGCCTTTTTACTGGCCAGCACCCAGACCTGGAACGCATTTCCTTTTCATCTCCATCTCACAAAAACTCTCTCTTTGTTCAAGATACAAATCTACATGAAGTCTTCCCTGATTATTCCCCCCCCCCAACCCCCTACTGTAATTATTTTATTTGGTCTGTGTATACTTACATATGTCCTTGTCACTGACTCTTTGAGAATGTAAGCTCCTTTAATGTAAGGATTATTTTCATCTTTGTATTTGTATCTGATTCTAGTAGATTCTAGATGCTAGTAGGTTCTTAATAAATTCTTCTTGACTGATGATTAAAAAGGAGAAAATTGAAATAGAAATCCTTGAATTCATAACTTTCAGTCCCCAAGATATGAGCAAATTTCCAGAGTTACTCACAATCTCCATGATGAGAGCTCCTTTGGGGAGGAATCAAGGTTGCTTACCCACAAGCTATGTCTTGTTGCTGGAAGGGCGGTGATAGGAATGGGGCAGGTTTATATTTCTCTCCTGTTTTCCTGCTGTTCCTTGTGGTTTCATAGCAAGGCCATCTAGTCTCCTGACTTCTTGGGGAAGGTGGAGGAAAAATTACAAAATTCTCCAACACTGTAATGTCATTTCTTCAGTGCAAGATAATCTGTTCATAATCCTTTAACATGCCATTGGTTGCCACTACTCTCTTCTCCAGGCTCTTCCTCTTTGCTTTCTTCGGTTTCTATCATTTACCATCCTCATATTGCACCCCACGTGTATACCTTGAGGAAACATCATTTTACCTTGCTACTCAGATAAGAAAAGGGCAATTCTCTTGGCACCCACTACAATTGTATGTTCCTTAGACTCATGGATAGCTCTATGGACAGATCATAGATTTAGATGTCGAAGCGACCTCAGAGACCATCAACTTTTACTCCTTCATTTTATAATTGAGGAAACTGAGGCAGGCACAAGAACATTAAGTGACTTTCCAATGTCACATCCACTCATACTAAGCATCAGAGGCAGAATTTGAACCCAAAGTTCCTCTAGCTTCAGAGCCAGGATGGTTTACACTATGCCACACCACCTCATTTAGTCCAAGCTCTTACCCCTTATAGGAATGTTTTCTACAATGGCCCTGACAGAGGGTAAGTCTCTACTTACTGGCAATATTCAAGTTGAATATTTTTCATTGCTACTATGAAGGTTGTCAAGCATTGCTCTTAATTCCATTACTTCTTATTTATGATAATTGGTTTAGAGAAAGAGTTCTGCAAGGGGTTGTTGGGAAGATGAGCAATCTAGGGCAGAAGATGGCTTGGCTCCTTAGCTTTTTGTTTTTGTTTTTTTATTTTTAAAAAAGACCTGAGTTATGCACATATAGTCATCCTATAAAATAATTTTTTTCCCTCTTTTCATCAAGGAGATGAGACTTGCTCTTACTCCCTTTTATATCCCTCTCCCCACATTTGGGCTGACCTTTCCTGACTTCTTTTCCCCACTATGGCTGACCTTAACGTTCATTTTACTGTTTTCCGCTTTGTAAAAATATTAGGGGCAGTTAGGTGTTGTAGTGGATAGAGCGCCAGGTCTGGAGGCAGGAAGATTCATTTTCCTGAGTTCAAATCTGGCCTCAGACACTTACTAGCTATGTGACCCTGGGCAAGTCACTTAACCCTTTCTGCCTCAATTTCTCTTCTGTAAAATGAGCTGGAGAAGGAAATGGCAAATCACTCCAGTATCTTTGCCAGTAAAATCCCAAATGGGGCTACAAAGAGATGGGCATCACCTAAAGGACACAATAACAGCAACTACAACAACAACAACAATGACAAATATTGGGCCTGGGGGAAGAATATGAAAGTTGAAGATCCATTCAGAGAGTGGTAAACCATTGGATTTGGAATCAGAAGCCCTGGTTCCACGTCTGTCACTTACCAATGATGAAATCTTGGACAAATGTTTTGGGTCTCAATATCTTCATCTGTTTGTGACATTTACAAAGCTTGAGAGACATGGTTTCTGGGTAATTAATAATTTTATTAATACTGCTAGCATTTTATTAACTAAAGGAATGGTCATTTGGCCATTTCTCTTGGACCAAAGACAAATCATGGTGGTGGGTTCACATTTTATATGCCCTTGGAAGAGTGGGTGTTCCTGAGGATGGCTATTAATTCTGATTGCTTAGCAATTAATGAGAGAGAGTAAATATTACAATGAGAGGTGGGCCTATTCTAATGAGGGACTGGGGGGGGGTATAATTTTGATTATATCACTTACTTCTAAATTGCCCAGCCTTAGGCAATCTAATCAAATAATTTATCCCCACACATACATGTGTAAGGTACAATGGGCTTCCTATCTTAGATTAAATTCCTTATAAGGTTAGATGGGATCTGAATAAGATTGAGGAGAAAAATTAATTCAATCTCATTGTCACAAATGTCCTTCAGAGACTGAGCTTCGAAATGAGGACTTTAGAAAAAGGGTGAACAATAATTAAGCCAGTCTGGTGAGAATATGAACTGTATGAAGGAGAGTGATGTGTGTTAAGTCTGGTAAAGTTGATTGTGAGGAGTTTTAAATGTCATATAGAGGAATTTGTATTTAACCCTTGAGGAAATAGTAAATTATTGGTTCTTATTTAGCCAGGGAATGACTTGGTCAGACCTGTGCTTTGGAGTATCCCTTTGGTAACTGTATGGGAAATAGACTGGAAAGAGAAGAAACTTGAGGCAGAGAAACCAATCCGAAGGGTTTTGCAATAGTCCAGATGAGAGGTGATAGGATGGTGATCTATGTGAATGGAGAGAAAGGGAGAGATGTGAGAGATGTGAAAGGAGAATGAACAACAAGGTTTCTTGATCTTGAAAGTTCTCCAGCCCTAAATCCCGTGATATCTCTTTCCAGAGCATTTTTATTTTGCAATCAACAAAGGGTGAGGCCCTTTCTGAAATGTTTGCTTGGAGGTGTGGGTCGGAGCAAGAAGCATAAGCAATAGCTCCCTAGGGGTTATGCTGTTTTTGCAAAATGTTTCTCAACCTGTAGATCCGTAGTGATTAAAGGTGCTACTCTTTACCCACATTCCCATATACCCACTCAACTTCTTCCACTCATTTATTCCAACACACACTCCTTTGTTGTCGTAGTCTTCCCAGATGATGCCAAGAAGGGTTTGAAATGAATAGAACACTGTTAAGAGCTTGGAGTAAGGACCCTGGGCACTACCCGTCATCCTGGAGCTTTCTCTCTCGCCACCGGTAGCATCCACAGAGCAGTTTGGAGAGGCGCCTAGGGAGGAGCTTCAGCTAGCTTTGTTCTCTGAGCTCTCGGTTAAGCCAATGAGCAGGGCGCCAGGTGGCGAAATCACTCCGTAGCCTAGTGAGAACCGGGCTTCTGGGGTGGGAGGCGCGCGCGCAGTTCAGGGTTTGGGCTAGGGCGGAGAGGTCGGTGGGGAGATAAAGCACGCGCTCGGGAAAAGAGTACTACGCGCCGCGTGGAGGAGGAGCTGCCCCGGGTGCTAGGCGGAGCGCGAGCTTGCCCCCGGCCCAGAATCTGGCCCTGGGAGCGCGCGAGCTGGAGCGAGCCAATTGCCGGGTCTGAACCTCGCCAAGAGCTTCGAGGCAGCTGCAGCCGCAACCACAACAACGGCGGTGCTTACTGCTGAGCCTTCCCGCCCGGAGCGCGTGCTCAGCCACAAACAGGGAACAAAAGAAGCTGGGATGAGCCTGAGGAATTTGCAAAAGGAAAGTGAAAGCCTGGCTGGGCGCTTTGAGGCAGTGGCTGGGTGAGAAACTGAGCGCCCGTCAGCCAGTCCCCCAGGCGCGGCCAAGCGCCATGAACTCCGGAATGCGGAGTCCCGCGCGGGTTTCCCAAGGCTAGCTCTCCCCGTCCGTCCTCGAGGGGGACCAGCCCTGCAGCCATGGCTATAGCTCACCTGGCCACGGAGTACGTGTTCTCGGACTTCCTGCTCAAGGAGCCCACAGAGCCCAAGTTTAAGGGTTTGCGCCTGGAGCTGGCGGTGGATAAGATGGTCACTTGCATAGCCGTGGGGCTACCCCTACTCCTCATCTCGCTGGCCTTCGCACAGGAGATCTCCATCGGTAAGGATGTGGGGGGAGAGAATGGAAGGGGGGAATTGGGCGGAGGAAGGGAGAAGCCCCAAGTGCTAGTTTGCCTTATCTGGGCAGATTGGGTCTGAAGTCTTTCTTGGCCTTAAGAGTTATCTTTCCACCCTCTAGGGTCAATATCTCAGCGTGCACCTGGCAGTTCCTGTAGTTGCGGTTTGGGGGTGCATTGATTTGTTTAAAGATTTAATGCACGTTTTGTGGAAATACTTCACTTTGCCAAGTTACACCTTAAAGTGAAAGGGCTTATAAGGAAACCATTAACAAACATTAACAAACCTGCTATGTGTCAAGCACTATGCTAAGGCACTAGCTAAACAAAAACAAAAGCCAGTCAAATCTTACCCTCACGGAGCTAACATTCTACCAAGAGGATACAATATGTTCACAAACATGTATATAAAAGATATATACAAAATAAACAGAAAGTGTTGGAGAGGCACTGACTGCAATTGCAGTCTATTTCGGAAGTCAGTTACAGGGTATTTCTGACTCTGGGCCGAGACTGTATACTTTTTCATTTCCTGACATCCACCACTACAACCACCACAACTACAACCACCACAACCACCAACCACTCTTATAGAGCACATTGCTCATAAAAAACCTGTGAGGGAGGTAGGGTAAATGTCGTCTCCGTTTTAGAGCTGAAGAAACTTAAGTAGCTTTTTCAGGAACCCAGAACAGCGGAGGGGCCAGAGGTCGAATTTGGGTCTTTTGACTAGTTACAGTGTTCCCTGTGCTACACAGTGGCTCTAGGATAATTATAATATTTTCCATGTTTTTCCAGAATTAAATATAGTAATGCAAAGTAGATTTGACAAGGTTCCTTGAAAATTATTTTTCATGGGGCAATGTTGATCAACACTTCTACCATGTTTTTTGATAATAGGCTGTCAGCCATTAGATGGATGGAGCACTAGGGGATTAGAGAATGAGGTGAAACTGACTATGAAAGGGCAGTGGTAAAGCCGGATCAACAGACATTTATTAAGTGCCTACTGCATTCATGGCACTTTGTTAGGCACAGGAGATACAAATGACTGAATGAATGAAAAATCTTTTGTTCTATGTTATACTATACCTGGGCTAACTATGCCAGGGGGATCGTTTATCTCATTTGATCCTATGTGAGATAGGGCAATTATGGGAAGGTAGCTGCAGTGCAAAGGGCATTGGTTTGGGAGTCTAAAGAACTGGGTTCAAATATAAGCTCTGTGCTTACTACCTGAGTGAGCTTTGGTCTCACTTAGTCTCCCTTGATGATTCACTGAAAAATGAGGTTTGGATTCAATGGACACAGGGGACTCAGATGTCCATTATAGCTCTAAATTTGTGATTCCATGATCTTCATTTTTCAAAAGGAAATTAAAACACAGAGAGGTTGGGTCACTTGTCCAAAGTGAGGAGCTGTTAAGGCTTCCACTGTAAATTTGGTAATAGAAGAAAGCCTTTCTCATCTTGTCAGTCTGTGAATTGAGGTGGTGCAGTGGATGGAGTGCCAGACCTGGAATCAGAAAGGCTCAGGTTCTCAAGTTCAAATCTGACCTCAGACACTTACTAGCCCTGTGACCCTGGGCAAGTCATTTAGCCCTGTTTGTCTTATTTTCTTTGTTTGTAAAATGAGCTGGAGAGGGAAATGCAAACCATTCCAGTTTCTTTCCCGAGAAAACTCCAAATGGGGCATCAAAGATCTGACATGACTAAACAACAGTTGACTTTTTATGGTGGCATCAATTAGGAACAGCTGAGCCTTCTAGTAGCGATCATTGTGAGACTGACTTGGACTACAAATGCATGTGTTCCTGGTATACAATGTTTGGGTTTCTTATGATTCTTTCTCAGAGTATTTGGGAATTCCAGCCTTGATTAGAGTCAATTCAGCAGGAATTCTGCTAAAGTGATGATTGGTAGGGGAGGTAATTCAGAAGAAATTCCCATTTTTGTGAATCATCAGCTTACCCTGCTAAATGAAGGGAAAGCAATGAAATGTGCTTAAAGTACTATACAAATGTAAGATATTCGTGTTGTAGTGGCAAGCACACGTATTTTTACACATATTAACCTTCTACCCAACAATTCTGTAAGATTGGTAGGCAGGTATTAGTATCCATATTGTATAGTTGAAGAAGCTACAGTCTGAGATTACCCATCCAATGAGAGACAGTATGGGAGTAATATATGGAATACTGAACTTGAAGTTAGTAAAACCTGGGTTCAAATCTGTAAGAAAGGATACGTATCAGCACAGTGGAGGAGTCCTGGCCAAACTGGGCTTTGTTCCATGGTCAGAGTGAGGCCTAGAACATTTGCTTAGTCTTGCCCTGATATAGGGCCAGCACTCTTTCATAATAAGCATCAGGAACAGAAATTTCCTTGGGCTACCAGCTTTCTGGCAGATAGTTATTTTAGCTTTAGAGTTGGGGCTGGAAGGATTTTTTCTTTTTCTTTTCTTTTTTTTAAAATACTTTCGATGGTCAACTAAGGCTTTTGGAGTGTGTGAAGCAGCAAAACAATATTATCTTTGTGGATGGATTGGATTACTCACACTCTGTCCTTCTGGTGAGTTTGTGCCTGGTATGGTGATATGGGATAGAGGGGCTTATAGAGGGTAGCAGGAACAAAAGATGTAGAAGTTGAGTTTTTTCCATCCCAACTAAATTGGAAGTTCCTTGGAGGCAGGGGCAGGTGGCTAGAGAGAGGATTTATTAAGTTATTAAGTGCTAGGCACTGTGCTTAATAGATAGGAAATAGTTATGAACTGTATGAGACTGTGTATTGAAGTACCAAATTTTGTGGTAACCAACTCTATTGGCTTTAGGAATGCTGTAATGATAACTGATCACTCTAGAGTGCCCTAAGGGTTACAAGATGCTTCCCCCACAAGAAGCCCATGGAGTAGGTTGTTGTAAGTATGACACAAGACCTCCATTGGATCTGTGATCTCTCCTCTCTTGGTACTCCTAAGGTTTGATGGAGCCTGCTCCTACAGAGAGTTAATTATTAAATTTTCAGTGTGAGCATTTCTGTCTCAGAAATGCAGATTGGGGTTTAATTTATTGTTTTGTTGATTGTCTAGGTGTAAGAATGTGATGGAGAAAAGGTTAATAAGGTTAAAGGTTAACCTTTAAAGTATGTCCTGAATGTTTGGGAGAGCTAAGAGTTAAACCTTTACCAATACACCCTTGACCTAGTACTCCCTCTAATAGTGCAGATTATAACCAATCCATCCCTATCTAACCTGTAGAATTTTTGTCCATGGTCTCCAGAAAGGATCTATCTATTATATAGAGGCCCTTCCTGAAGGTCTTTTAATACTTAATGGGTATTGTTGTTTATCATGGCTGTCCCTTTATGATTTCCTTATTCTCCATGCATGAATAGCCCATTTTTCTTTTTTAACAAAAGGAAGTTTACTTAACAATAGTATCGACAGGATATTCGGCAGGAATACAGCCCTTAATTTTGTTGGCCCATCTTCTTTTACAATTGCATATCTTTTGAATATCTTTTATGCCACCTGTTGCACAAATAAGTCTAATATGGCCAACTTATGCCTAGCATACGTTTCTCTGTTATCTGTTGGGTCACCTGTAATTTTGGTTATTTGTAGATGGTAGAGTCACATAATTTGTAACCATATAGCATTCCCAAGAGAATGTTAATGTTAAAAATGGATTTTTGTGTTAATAAACAGCTTGGGATTATTGAAAACACTGAATGATTTCTAACATGTAATCAATCCAGTTTGCTCTTTTATTCCTATTTAATATGGCTGTAGTTCATTGTCTATTTGCAGTGCCTGTCCAAGATACAGGATAACTAATTAAATGGATTGCCCACCCAGCTGCACGTCATGCTTTCTTTTTTCATAGGCATTCTTCATCAATGTTTTATATTGTTGTACTGAATGAGTGAATGAGTAAAAGGTAAAGCACTTAGTATGTGGTGCATATATTTTGCTAAGCACTAGGGATACAAATACAAACACTCAAGGCAATCCTTGCCCTCCAGGAGCTTATATCCAAAGAAGACAACAGATAAAGAGGTATGGTAGCCAGAGAGGAGTATTTTGGAGAGGAATGGTCATTGGAGTAATAGGGCAATTGATTGACTTGGCCTTACAGGGAATGGTGATGTTGGAGAGGGTTGGTCTCAGGGGACTTAAGGTCTCCTCCAGCTCTAAAATGATGATCCTATGATCTCTAAAGCCCCTTCCAGGCCTAAAATTAGGATCTTGTTATTAGGTGTGTCTATTCCAGGTTGGATTTATACACACACACACACACACACACACATACATATATATACATGTGTATATATGTATTTATGTATATGTGTGAATATGATATAACACATATTATAGAATATATTATGATATAGAATATATTATATATGTATGTACATAACACATGCAGATATTATATATATACATAATACATTACATCTATAGATTATATATTAGCCCCCTTCATTTAGGCACAGATATAATATGTGAAGAGAGAGAGATATATGTTATCTATCTCTGTGTGTATGTATATATATGTATCTATATGAGAGAGAAAGAGAGAGAGAATGACAGTGATAGTGTCTATCTGTGTGGGGGAGATGGAGATGGAGATTGACTAGAAATATAGAATACATGAAGGCAACCAATGTAATTTAAAGTTGGAAAGATAGCTTGGATCTAGATTGTAAAGGACCTAAAATTCCCTGAGAAGGGATGTATGTTTTGTCATGTAGTTAAATAGAGAGCCACTAAAGACTTTTGACCAGAGAATGACATAGGTCTGATCTGTGACTTATTGGCAGTTGTGTGAAGATGAATTGGAGTCAGGGAGACCTGCTAGGATCTTAGAATGATAAGGTTTAGAACTGTAAGGGGCCTTAAGACCATATGTTCTGATCCCAATCCCCTCATTTTTGTAATCAGTTAATCAACATGCATTTATTAAGTACCTATGATATGCAGGTAC